GTCTTCCTCCTGCGCTTTTTTGCTCAGTGTGTCAAATTTTTCATTACTCCTCTGCTTTCTTTAGTAATAACGATATTTGTAATATGTTTAGCCCATTTTTATCTTTGAGGGGAGGCTCAATGACTATCAATTGCATCCTAGGTCATATTGCAGCTTCCCAGGCCCCTGTATTCATTGGACCAAGGCTAACTCTCTTCTGGCTGATTGTCCTGAACAGCTGGGAAACCAGACTGCCTGGGTGACAGTGAGGAGCAACATACCAGACCACCAAAAACAAATCAAAAATAATGAACAAATGCTTCAGACATTGAAGAAAGAGATTTTTTTCCTGTCCCTGTTAGTAAATTAATTTAGTGATGAACAGATTAATTTACTCTGCCTTACAAAAACCTGGTTAAAGCAGGATGATTGCTAGTTTGAAATTGATAGCCTCCACATGGCATTTAATTATTTAATTAATTATTAGACTTAATAGCTATTGTGGTACCTCCCTGAGGCAGAAGTGTTTCTCTGTGCCACTCTTGAATACCAGCTTTATTCTTTATTTCTTTTGTTTACTGCATTTTCTACAGTGTGCAAATGCCATGTGTTGCAATGATACAACGGACAGGTACTGTTGGACACCACCAACTCACACAATCTTTTGAATTCCTGGCTTTATGCCACCAGATCTACAATTTTTGGTTCACTCCCACATCTGTCCTCTGCCCCCCAGGAAGGCAAAAAGGTTGTGCTAACTGACCATCACTACCCAGCCTCTTGCTAGCCAACATATGGTTTCTGGAAAACAAACTGGATGAGCTTAGAGTCAGGATTACAACACAGTGCAAAATAAGAGAGTGCTGAACCCTAATTTTCACCAAGACCTGGCTCTTAGACACAGTCTCAGAATGCAGTGTTCAGCCACAGACTCTTTCCATACATCAAGCAGGCCACACCTCAACCTCCAGTATGGCTAAACGGGAGGAGTGTGTTTATTAATAACTTGTGACATGTGGAGTTTTTACTGCTGAAATGCCATCCACCTTGAAATTCTGAACAAACATCACCTATAAAAATGCTAATGCAAAGGACATGTTAGCTAAATGGAGCAAACCTGTTTGGAGTGGAGGCAGGAAGTCAGAGTTTCTCTGCCATTTCAAGGAAATCATATTGTTCAGTAGTGTTATGGTCCCTCCTCTGCCTCTCCTATTTCTGTTTCACTTTCAACATGACAGCTGCAGGCATGTGAAAATGGAGATCTCATTCATCTCATTCATCTCTGCCTTCTTGGTATCACTTTATATCACATAGATACTGTTTCAGGTGAAGATGGCGGTTAAAGGGGTCAAAAATATCAAATAATATTTGTTTCTTTGTAACTGTGTTTGCTCTCCACACCCTTTCCTACACCTCAACACTGAGGACACCAGTAAGAGCTTATGTCACACAGTAGAAAATTGTGTTTTTGCTGTCAGTCAGAACTGAAACGTTTTGCTGAACAGTGGGAAAGGCTTAAGACATTACATGTAGATGACTACAGGACCAGAACAGCAAAGGACAGATCTGAAGAATGGGACGAAGAAAGTGAAATTGTGACCAAAAGCTGTGGTTCTTGCAAAAATTGCCCACTGTGCTGCTATCAAATACTCAGGCGGTTCAACATGCTGTCTGATGCCTATCGTCTCCTTGGGCTGGCATACAAGTACCTGCTGACCCTCTCCCTCACTCAGGTTG